TATTATTATTATTATTATTATTAATTCTTAGGAGGAGTCTCCACTAATCGCTCTTCCCGGGCCATTACAAATAGCATAAGCATAGTTTACATCAGGCAGGATGTTTAGAAGAAGACGTATTCGGTCTTGCGATGAGCAGAAGACTTGTTAAAAAGACATTGACATACCTGCAGTCTAAACAGGGGGATCCGATTCCTGACTCCATGGGAACCAAGTGTCCTTCCTTATATGCAGTCCTAGGACAGGTAAACATTTGTAGTAAAATTTGATTAAGTGGGTAAAGGGCTCTAGTAGTTAGCGACACAACGAAACCAAACAGTAGAAATTAGTCTATATATGCATCTGACGATACTCAAAGTAATTCTGTTGGAAATACTTCCCGTTTTTTATCTCCACAATGATTTCCCTAATTTGATAGTCGTAAGATAAATATATAGACCGCGGCAGGACTAGCTAAGTCGGTAGAGGGTTTGTCTGCAGAGCGGGAGGTCCTGGGTTTGATCCTTGGATTGGAAACAATACCCAAACTGTTATCTGCTTTTTGCCTTGTTAACAGCTAGACCTTCGCGTGTCTCGGATGGCCACGTGAAATGGCGGTCGAGTCTTTGGTAGGAGACCTAAAAATATAGTTCGTTCAGTCAGTTCTTTCGCACTTTAAGCATTGATACTCAAATAAAGTGCGGTGGAAGATGATGAGAGGATGACGGCGTTGATGATGTTGAGAGTGACGACGACAATGATGACCATGATGATGACGATAGATCAATACCAGAGTCAGTGTTTCTCACTTGTCAATCACAGAAAACAATAGCCAAGCATACCTTATTTCGGGGCATAAATCTGCTACACTCTCGGTTAGAATTACAAGTTCACTGAACATAACATCGTTAAGGGCTGGGTATGAGTTGGCAGCCATAACTACCTGAAAATGTCACGCAAAACAGTCACGCATCACGCACATCTTATATAAAATGTTTTGTAAGAGCATGACAAGAAAACAGAGTAACAAACACGTCAACAAGCATCCAAAAACCTGCCAATAACGCTTGCTAGTTTCTAAGCAACTTAGTTATATAAAAACCGCTCAATCTCGTATGGCCCCCAGTTCAGTCTCTCCCCGCAAGTGCACGGTATTTCCCAACCTAACGGAACAAAGGCTTCTTATTTTCCGCTGGCTTTTAGCTATAGGACAGCGTCAAAAAGCTACTATACCTTTGTTCCACGTGAAAGGAGTTCTCTGATAAACGGGAACATTCCTAATATAATATCCACGCCGCTGTTGTCCACAAATACGACAGCCAATTTATGAGGAGGTCCCTGCAACATAAAAGTCAAGTAGACTACTAAAACTGCAGATGCCTTCGTCAGTGAATAATACAATACAATCACGTTGCCACCAGGGACACGCGACTGAGCTTTTTAAAAGAAGACTGACCTTTAATCGCTCAATCCACGCATCCAGGTCATCTTTCAACCACGGCCGGGCTAAATGCAAATTTAAATGTTTAGCAGAAACAAGTTTGAGTTTATATGGTTCTGGAGAAGGTACTGTCAAAAATACTGGGTATAATCGCATTATATTACCTTGCAACTTCTTCATTGCTGAGCCAAAGTCAAGATGACCTTCTTCCATAAGTCTAAAGAAATAAAAACTTGTTCCGATAAAAGCATTTTAGACATTCGTTGAAACAGGCGAGGAAAGGTTTGATTTTAAAAAGCACGGGCCAGGGGAGCGGTTTGTGTATGAAGGTAGATGGTTTGTTTTAAAAAAGAAAGGAAACTGAAGTGAAAAAAAGGCAGTGGGTAAAATGGCGAGAAAGAGGGCTTAGAATGAGGAATACTTGAAGGAATTTGAAGTTTCTTCATGAGCGGAGCAGTAAAATTAATGTGTGTTTTTACAGAGGAAGTTGTTTGTAATATGTTTTGAAATTTTGTCTTAGTTTCAGAACATCTACCCTTGGTACCAGAGGTTTTTCTCGCGTGCGACGAGGAGCTTTTGCTGGGTGTCGGCCGCAGGCCGACACGTCTTCGACCGAAACCGGAAACCGCGCATAAAAATTCTCTGGCACCCGGGGTACAGAACATCGTGTTAAGTTATAATATCTTGAAGGTTTAGTTACTTAGCGACTTCCTTTGCACCCCAGTCGAAAACGTTTCCTGCTATTACACCTTCTGCCAAAGCACGCTGCCGCAGTTCCCATGGCAACGTGTCTAATTCTTCAAGTCGTTTGGACAAGAGAAGAAGGGCAGCTTCGTTTTCTTGTTGTTTTACCTGACGAAAAAACGGCAAAGCAAAGTGGATTAACAATAATAGACGGGGAACGATTATTCAATAGTAAATCGCACATGTCTAAAATGGTGTGTTTTGCCGCTCTGTGGTGGGTCATCACTGAGCGATAAAACGATGCGTATTGAAAAGACGTCAGATCAACTTAGCCTAAGATGAAAGTTCATAATTGATGAATCCGCTTGAGTCATTACCTCTGCGTAAGGATCAGGAAAGCTAAACTCGTTGAGGTACTGTTCTCTGACGTCCAATAAACTGCGTACATTCAATGTTCCGTAAGCCCTGCGACGGAAAAAAAAGGCAACAACTCACCACATAAGCTGTGCAATTCGCTACTTTAGAGTGGTTTTCGTTTGAGTGTCGTAAAACCAAAACCAAAGTAATTACTCTGGCCAATCACATAGGACACAGACAATACATTGAACCAATCAAAACTCGAAGTAATTACATGTGGCTGACGCAA